ATCAAAGATAAAATAAGGCTCCCTCTTACCATGGAGTGAGTCTCTTCCAGTCGGGTGATTGTCCTATAGGCTAAGAATAGTGCAGACAAGGGAGTGTTTGAGATGCGATTCGACACATCTCTGGCAGCGATAAGCTGAGCTCACACACTTTCAAAGGCCAATCCACATACAGTTTCCACAGATTGTTTTTTTTAATGAGCCATGCTACCATACAGAACTAAACCAGAGCAACCACTGCGCTGTATGCCACAGTGTCTGCATTTCAGTGTATTGTAGTTTTCACTTTCTGTTATGGCTTTCATTCATCTCTGGGCTCTGCAGGCTAAAATGACTGCACTGCATACCTTGGACGGCTGCTCTGTTATTGTTGAAACTAAAGTCTGCAGCACACAAACCTGTCTCATTATTATGACAAAAGTAATCTGTTTGTGAGATTAGCTGACCGGTTGGGACTTTGTAGTTGTTATAGCTGGCAGATCACCATTCCTGGCTTCCACCTTTGTTTCAGGTTGACATTACACTTTTATCTCCTCCATATGGACATAGATCTGTAGAGTGTGTTTCAAAAGAATCTACTGCTTAAAGTCAAACAGTTTTGCTAAGAAACCATCCATGGTTATGACTTACCCAACTGACAATAACTTGATTGGTGGAAATCGGTGTGGACAGACACTAAAAATAGTTTGGTGTTTTGCTTCAATTTCAACACTGTTAGCACTTAGTGCCATCTGTGATTGGAGCACTCCCATTATTCCATGACCCTGTAAGTTACACCGTGTTGCGATTCAAATCACTACATGTTGACAGTGACAGTCTGGTCATGTGCCATCTGCCTCAACTGGACCCATGTGGCACATGGCAAAATGTGCTTTGTATAGAGCGCCACAGGGAAGACGTATTTTTGTAGTTAGCATCACCCTGGTTACTTCTACAAAACGCCAATGGCTACATTGGCTTTTGGATTGCTGCAGAATAAAAGCTCTGTGACAAACAAAAGTTTATGATACTAACACATTTTGTTCAGCACAATATCTTCACAAATGAACACCAACTTATGATTTTTGAAGCCTAAATACAATCGCCAGAAGTAAAAAGCTAATATGAGGCTATAAACAAACTACAACAACATTGCATGACTTCCAACTTGTAGTTTGATTTATGCTAAGATGCTAGCTAATTTCCAGGTTTTAGGACTCATTCCTGTAGCACTCTATACTATGGGACAATCAAAACACTGAGTGTGCAGCTGTGTTGAAATAACGTAAATAAAACGTTACATCTAATAGGAATCAATCCCTAACAATGGCAAGTTAAGCTAAGCTTCCATTTATCAGAGTAAGCTAGTTAGCCTAGCTTGCTAGCTTGGTATTCTGAGTCACACTCCCAAGTGTTGAATGTTGTAAAGGGACAAGCAGCTTAAGAGAATAGTTTGAGATTCACTTTCTTGCCAAAAGTCAGATGAGAAAATTGATACCACTCTTATATCTGTACAGCCAGAATCCAGTTAACTTTAAGCGTGGCGCAAATTAAGACTGGAAACGGGAGAAATGGTTAGCCTGTCTCTGTCCAGAAGGTAACCAAAGCCACCTTCCACCAGTTTTAAAGATCATTAACATATTAGTATTTCTTTGCTGTTACCATACAGACATAAGAGTGGTTTCAATCTCCGCATCTAACGCTGCAAGAAAACAACTAAGTGCATTTCCCCAGACATCAAAGTATTCCTTTAAAAACACGTTAGGATAGCTTTTTGAACTTGTTGAAAAGAGGAAAAAATGCTTTGTCTTATCACTTTCAAGCTCTACAGTATTTCTCAGGTCGGCAACACACCCCAACAGCTGAGTTAACACAGCAGCTAAGTAGTTAAGTTAGCATGCATAGCATCATTGGCTCTAAGTCAGCCAATGCCATTGGAAAGGTCTATCCACTGCTTCCACAATTATGCCCTAAAGGGAATTTATCCCCCTTTAGAAATAGTTTACATTTCCTTACACAAAAAGTGAGTAGAATGCAAATTTCAATTTGACTGTAAAACATACTTAAACAAAGTAAAGAGACAAAGTTTATGGTGAATGTGGTAGCACTCCTGTGAAGGCTGCCTGTGTGTGACAAAGAAACCTGTGAGCTGTTGTGTGTTTGTTTGTGGAGAGATAATCATCAGCAAACATCATGTTTCATCAAACAACAACAATGAACCCACAGAATCTTTCTGCCGGTCCCTGGTGACAGGTGTTTTCTGTTGCAGCCAGTGCGGTGTTATTTTACACATAGTCAAATTCCATGCTTAAATGTTGCAGATGGACCGACCCATATGTAAAAGAGCAACCTCCCACTATCCAGGTTTTGTTTTAACCAGGTTGTTTATCTGCGTGACATTTGTGGGAAAAAAAACAAAGGGCTTAATTTAGGCAAATAAAGCCTGGCTAAAGGCTACAGAGCTGGTACAGATGTCTGCGTGTGGTTTATCAGGACAATAGACATGATTATTTTATTTAGAGTCATTATGGGCAATATCAATGATGCAACCTCAACCACTGCTATCACCACATATTAGAGCAGGGGTCTCCAACAGCCGGCTCGTGAGCTACCAGTAGCTCACCAGAAGGTTCTGAGAATATAATACGTACGAACCATGGGCGCATAGTAAAAACTTTAAGCAGCACAACTTCACTCTGTAAATCTACTCCAAATGCAACTAAATGAAATACACAAACACACCCCCCTGTTGTCAGTCAAATGAGTTACACTGTCAAGTTTGTTTACCTCACATATGCTGTAGGCGACATGCAGTGATAGCAACTCTTCTAAATAAAAGAACATATATAAACTTTTAAGTGAGTTAAACTGTGGGCTTCAATTTGAGCCCCATTTTTTTCAGCCCATGTTTGGTGACATTTTGTGAAATTAAATGTACTGAATTATCTATTTTAAGCTCTTGTTTGTTATGTAGCTACCATTGTATGTACTGAGAACTATCACTGGATTACTCACTAAGGAGCTTCTTCTTTCTCTGATTTCTAGGCAGACGTTTATTTGCAGTGGTGTCATGTCTGTGTGTTTAGGTTTGACTAAAATCATGACTCTTTGACACTGATGTAAGTTTCAGATGTTTTTGGTACAAAATGTGAATTTTTGATATTGATATTTGATTATTAATCTGATTTGGTTTGGAGATCAGTTGGAGTGTTTTGATATAATATGTGAATAAATGTAACCAGTAATATAAGATGTTAGGAGCCCCTTTTATTTTGTTAAAGTAGCTCTCAGAGTAAAAAAGGTTGGAGACCACTGTATTAGAGGATGAAATCAGCTTCTGTTCATCCCTAAGCCTGTATTTACTTCAATTTCTTTTTATTTTCAGCCCTATAATTACCTAATTCCTCCTGAGAAACAATGTTAGATTTACTTAGGAAGGTTAAGAGTCTGTGAATGTGGTAAGATAGAGGACACTGAGCAGATGGAAAACTGGACTCCCCCTGAAACATTGAAGCTTCTCTCTTTTTCAGGAAGTGGGAAGAGGCATTTTTGAAAACAAACAGTTAATTTGGGAAGTTAAGCTTCCTTTACACTCAGTTTGTATTTGGTACAGCCCTGCTGTGTGTGTGTAAAGGAGGATGGGTGGAAGCAGTAAATACAGGCTCTCAGCAAGGCAGACACGCATTAGAAGCTTACATAAACAGCCAGAACATGAGTCAAGATGACCATTCATTTTTAATGGCAGCAGCAATGAGTACGTGCTGTGAGGGACAGGCTAGGGCTGCTCAAGGACCATGATGCAACACTGCCAGCGTCACAGTACTGATGACGCTGCAGGAGCCCACAGAATGGGCGGATGGCTTGATCTTATCACTGAAAATATTTATGTTCTCCAGTAGGCCTGCTACAACTGGAGTGAGTTAACGCTTAATACAGAGAGCACTGAAGGCAGACACAGCTGGACCAGTTCTGCTGAATCCTGAGTCACTATGCTTTCTAGGAATTCATCCTTCTAAAGCACAAGCTGCAGTCATTTCCTTCCTTAATCCTCTAAATGGATGCTAACAGCATCAGAGCTTTCATAACAAATATTGACGGATTTTCAGAAAGTAAAGAGTTTGAGTGTAAATCCTCAATAGTGTTTTACAGTTTCAAGAATTTTCCCTCTCTTATGAGCTCTCTGGTTTTGTGTTTCTCCAAGTCTTTATTTTATTCCCTCTCTCTTTTCCTCTTCTCTATCATTTCTACTGTTTTTTTCTTTCTCTGTATTTGCTCTCTACTGGAGAGAAACAGAACACTTGTCTAGTGTCATCTATATATTCCCCTGGCATGAATACACTCTTTAAAACCATCAAATGACAGAGGTTGCTGGATTAGGCATGTAGGCATTTAGCTGTCACTCAAAACAGACAACACTGACTCTTTGTGTCTCTGCCTTGAAAAGTGAATGGCTGGATGCAACAAAACTTCTCTCAGTTAAATAAAGGCAAGACTGAGATAGTACTATTTGGGAACAAAGAAGGAAGGTTGCAATTCAGTGCCTACCTGGAGTCTAAAGCATTAAAGACTTCGCTCATGTTGAAAACCTCGGTGTAATCATGGCTGGGGATCTTAGTTTCAGTGATCATGGTAACTGGCTTTAAAGAGAAGCTAAAAACGGCTCTATTCTCCTCTGGCTTAATTTAATCATTTAATCTGGCATTTTAATTACATATTATCTGTTTTATAATCTGTGTTTGATACTGTTTTCTTATTATGCTATTATTTTTTATGCTTCTTATATTTCTGTTAAGCGCATTGAATGATCTCAGTGTATGATAATGTGCTATACAAATAATTTTGTCATACCTTGCCTTACACTGAAAAAGCACAATAAATGTAATGGTTCACCCACACAAAGAGGAAGAGGGAAGTCCACATTTTCTCTACAAAGTCAGGCTGGACATGAATAAGACCCTGCCCAATGCAATATGTTTTCCCAATTACAACACCAGCGCTGACATTATGGCACGACCACCACCCACCTCTACAATGTCAGAGTTGGTTCTGCTCTCATGGGGTTCGTTGTACTCGGTGTATTTCAGTAGGACTTTGTCCATGTCGGTGCTGGCGTACTGAAACAGCTTGTTGGAGCTGTTGAAGATGATGAGGGCGATTTCACAGTCACACAGAACGCTCAGCTCGTAGGCCTTCTTCATCAGACCGAACTTCCTCTTCATGAACGTCACCTAGAAAGACAGACGCAGAGGATCAGTCTAGTTTCCTTCAAATATCCACTCAGACAAGGAGTTTACATGCAAAGCTGTAGCTGTAGAACTGATTGCATTTTTCAGTTATTTTGAAAGTATGATCAGCTGATCATCATTTCCTCTTCATTCTATCACCTCAAGCAAATCCTAATACAAGAAGACTTAATTGTTTGTATAAAAAAGATGTCAAGGTGGAAGATATACAAAATGTTAAATGGGCAAAGGAGTGTCTCCAAAATATTTTCTGTGAACTGGGATCAGTGCTGTAAACTGTGCAGAAAACACAAATTTGAAATGTTTTAGAGACATAAATCTCCCAGAATGGAGTGATGTCAGAGTTCAACCAGAGTAAAACTTTCTGAACATCAGATCACAGTGTAATTGAGCATTTTTGTCATCCCAGATTACATGTGGATGTAAAAATTGCTTTTTAGGTGATGAAATCCAAATAGCTTAATGGCAAAAAGGGCAGGTTCCACTGCAGCCTCTAATCTGAGTCAAATGTGTCATATTAACACACATTTGCATTGACATTTATGTTTCATTTCAAGAACTTATTTATTTATTTGTTAATTTGATAGGGGCAATGCAAGTTAATGAACATCAGTACAAAATACATTATGTAAACATGCCACACAGAGAGGGAGAGGAATGAGGAGGGAAGAAGTGGCTCAAGAAGATGGGTTCTGAAACTGAACTCCCCCAAGAGGGTGGCAATATCCTGGAAATTTGTTTCCAATGGAATGCCACTTATTGAATGGATGGGAAATGTGGGTGGGTAAAGCAACTCAGTAATGTTTCCCCACCCTTAATGAGTACTATCAAGGTGTTCATCCTTAGGTGTTACCTCGCAGTCATCATATTCCTTGTAAATTCATAATAATGTGACTGAACCCTCCCAATATAAAGCAAACCTCCAAGCAGACAGTATTATATTGCACTGTGATATCTAAAATGAAGCAACCATGTTCCCCTAAACCATGACATGCACCTCTACATTTTATCTGAAATGCATTGTTCGGAGTGGACCATTTACAGCTCATATCAAACCCACATACAACCCACAGGTCACTCATCGATCATGCTTTCATCCCTTTTTTGGTGTGTAGCTAACTCCCTGCAGTGAGTCACCTGAATGCATCTTCCATCCAGCTTCTGGGATCCTGACTCATATCATCTCCATAAACTTCCTTCTGACTCTCACATCTTCTCACACCGCCAAGATTTCTAGAAGTGTTGAGTAACAGGTGTATTTCATGCGGTCCCCGCCTGCCAAATTCATGTTCTCACGTTTCCAAATGTTCACAGCTCTGCAGGTCACAGGTCAGTTTTTTCTGAAGCAGCTGGTAGTTCAGGTACTTGCTCAAAGGCACCATAACAGTTGTAGGTGATGAGGGTAAGAGTCTTAATTTTTTCAAAACATTAGCAACAACTGCACCCAGAAAACAGTCAGGTTCAACAAAAACATGGACACCATTTAGCAGGGCACAGTCATTTGCATTCTAAGAAGATACACAATATAATCCACACTTGATCATCAAAAAGCAGTTTTTCCAGTTTCAGTTTCGACCAAGGTTTTGAGTTAGTGTTTTGCCAAATGTAATTCACTGAGGAGAAGTATAAATTATTCTATAAACATAACTTGGAAGAGAGGTTGGGAAGAGCAGGTACCTACTAATCAGACTGGCAGAGTGGTTTGTCAAGCAAGTGTGTGTGCATTTCACACATCTTATCCGTTCAGTAGAAATCACCCACTCCTCTCCTGTAGCTTTCTGCTCCTCTTGCTCTTACAGGCTCCTGAAATGAACATTCAAGCTCCTCCATAGGCTCTCCTGGCACCTCCTCACCATCACTGGTTATTCACTGGTCACAGAAATGTCTCCTCAGTCTGTAATGTCTGAGCATCGATGTCCTTGCAAAGAAGGACATGAGATGCTTCCATTAATGCTGCTGCTAGGGTTCTAACTAAAACTAAGAAAAAAGAGCAATCACACCAGTTCTCAGGTCTTGGCACTTGCTTTCAGTCAGATACAGAATTGATTTTATAGTTTTACTTATTGTCTACAAGTCATAGTCTGGGCCCCTAAATATATTTGTGAAATATTCAATGTACATAAGCCTAACAGGTCTATAGGATCTGCAGGAGCTGGAACTAAAACTAAACAGGGTGAAATGGCTTTCAACCACTATGTTGCCCACTGCTGGACCCAGCTCCCAATGGAGATCAAATCTGCCCAAACTGTTACTGGCATTAAAAAGAAGCTAAAAATTGCTCTTTTCTCCACTGCTAACTTAATCTTTTAATCTTGCACTTTAATTAAATATTATCTATTTTATAATCTGTGTTTTATACTGTTTTCTTATTATGCTTTTTACTTCTATTTTTAAGCTTTTTTTATTTTCTGTTAAGCACACTAAATGACCTCTGTGTATGATAATGTGCCAGACAAATAAATTTGCCTTTCCTTTCCTAATCATTGTCGGCCTATATGTCAGATAACTGACATATGCACGGTGTAAAGCGTGGGCGATGTAAGCCAAAGCATTTTAATGTGTGGAACCCAGTATCTTACAGCTGCTCTCCATCCCCACTTAGAGGCTTTTATCCAGGGAACTGTTGCAAGTACCATTATATGCATGAGAGCACTGTGGCTTTATATATATTCTCTACCACAGAAAGCCAGGGAGAGAACGCTATCCCGTTAATAAGTGATTTATTATCCTTTTTGGCCATAAAACTATAGTCTTCTTAAGATATTTCAACATTTTCCCAATGGGGATGATATGATGTCATTTGTCTCCAGGATGGTTTGATTTGTTTTTGAAGGGTCTAAGATGTTGGAGCTCCTGAAACATCACATGTTCCAGTTAGGAACCAAAGGCCAGAACCAAGTTCACATTCAACCAAGCTGAACATTTGCACTAATGCCAGAAACATTTTGGAACAGTTCTCACTGAATAAATGTTGCATCTCACTACAGTAACTAGATTAGATGATAGTGGTAAAATTGACGCTACAGTTCTCACTATGGTTCCAAGAACAGTTAACTTTTGTTGGCAGAAAAGTCAGTTTCCTCTTTAACAAAGTTTTTAATTATATTCATTATTTCTCGGGCGTGACTTGCAAATATATTTTGGTGAAAAGAGATAAAGAAGAACTACCGGGTTCCTCTTTTAGAATATGTGTGTGCAGGTCGATGGTGTATCGCTGGTGCATCTTTCTACTACAGTCATGTCGCCACCATATAATCTGCAGAGTGTGTAATAGTGTGATACTTCAAGAAAAGAGGAAAAACTGCTAAAAACACTTGATGCACTTGACAGATAAAACGAGAACAAGCCAACTTCCCAAAATAGAGTGCAAGAAACTAAATATACAGCAGGCTCCAGTGATAGTGCACACCCAACAGCTAAAGCAGTGTCTATCTAAAAATGCTCCAGCCAAGACAACCAAACATCAAATATAAACATCATCCCAGATATTTACTTTCCAGCCACATCCCTATTTCCAGAGCCTGCGCTTTCCTTCCAGACAGGCTGGTATTTGTTGTGCTGCTGGAGGTGATATATATAGAGGAGACAGACAGAGAGGGATTCCAGTGGGCAGCAGTGTGGCTGAGCGAGGAGACTGTGAGGAGAGAAGGCCACTGTGTGTCCCTAACGCTGACCCACCCTGCTAATGACAGGGTGCCGTTTGGACCCAGCTAACCCCAAATTACTGCCCTCGCCACCAGCTGTGACCACTGCACTCTCAGAAAGTAACACAGCTAACAAGAATCTTTAAGAGGTCTTTACATCGAAACTATAGGGGATATGCAGAAGGTTCCTTGAGGGATCCCTTCGCAAAGTCTTCCTGAACCTGTCAGTACTTACACATCACATCCATATAATATTTGATCTTTCTATTGAAAAATGTACAGGGCTACTTTTAAAATATTGCCTCCAACTGTCCTTGTTGTTCCTTTTGGATGAACAGAGTGAATCTCTCACTTTAGAGTGGGCTTCTAGCACGATTCAGAGGACACACATCAACGCATCAGGATGTCATGAAAACTAAATATAATATCAAAAACTTCCAAAACTGCTGCTAGATGTTGTTTTCCACAGCAGAACTACACTGTGTGTTTTTGTATGGATGTCTGTTGTGATACTGAAGACTGAGGAGTAGTGTCAGTCCTCACCCACAGGTTTTTGTGCAAAATTATAAAATGTAACAGAAGAGGACAAAAGAAGAGGACACTGACCTGTCGGTTCCTCTCATCCACGATCCGGGTGATCTGGATCTTCTTCCTCCCCATTGCCAAAATACCTTCCAATAAAAGCCGAAGAAGAATATCAGTAGACTCCAGGTAGTTCAGGGTTCAACAGACGATCCTCACATACAGTCCCACTGTCAGCTCTGTTAGTCCAGTATCAGCTTGGCATGGTTTGCTGAGAAAGAGCAAGACAGAGACAGAATCAGTTTAATCCCTTCACAGCATGAACAATGCCAATATTTACACAACCATATAGTGCATGTTCATAAGAGCACCACTTAACAAATAGGTATAGATTCATGCATCTAAGTTTTCAAACCCAGGCTTTTTACAAGACACAAGATAGTATCAAGAAACTCAACATCTACACAGTTTGCTAGACACAAAACATTCATTTTACTCAAATTTCTGAATGGCTACAATATTTACTAAAGATTACAGTGCTACAGATTATAATCTGTGTCAGTCTGGTGGCACCTGACGGATCATTCTTGCAATAAGTCTTCAGGCTCTGCTTTCATTCTTTATTTGCCATTTTTCTCCTCAGTCTGGTTACTGTACATTCCCATGCACAGATGTCTTTGTCACTGCTAATTTCACTGTCCTCTGTCACAGCTGCATCTTCACCTGACAGCAACGAGTGTCACACCAAGGTTTACTGACCAACCAGCAGGACTTTCATCCCTCACTGGATTCCCACCCACAATCAATGCCAACTGTGTTTGTTGGAATCCAAATATCTCTTTTGTCTCACGCAGTCTTTTCCAAAGTACTTTTCATCTTTTGTTTTTGAAATTAGAATGTAAACACTGGATCTAGACCAAACACGCCAAGACGGACACAACTGGCTGAGAAAAACCAGGAGAATTCAGTCCAATGCCTCTCCTTCATTACGCACCTTTTCTAGCTGTCTCCAAACTCTCCCCCACAGCAGTACTCCCTCATGTGCACCAACATATTTAACCCTGCAGTCTTGAGGGAACTCGCCTCTGCTCTCCAGTTTCCTCCTCCTGCAGGAGTGCCCACCTGCCTTGCCGTGTCCCTCCTCAGCCTCAGTGTTTCTCAGCCTTGCCTTCCCCCAGAGCTCCTTAGCTCTTTCCTAATCTCATCTGATCTGGGAGGAGGCAGAGAGTGTGGCGAAGCCAGGCTTTATCCTAACCCTCTCTGGATTACTGCAGCATGTGGAGCCCAGAGCTGAGCCACCAAAACCCCCACTGCAGACCCAGTTCTCAGGGTTGGGAGATGGGACAAATGCATTTGTCATGCACCAGTGGAAATTTATTGGTGACTTTTGCTGATTTAAATGACCTCTGTATTTGATAAAAGATAATATAACTGAGTGCCAGTCACCTAAATGCCCCATACAGCAGATAAATAAGGAATAAATAAAATGAAATAGAAAATCCCATGTTGATTTAAAATTCATTTAAAACCTACTTTCCTGAAGTCTTTCTTCGCCTGCTCTGTTATTGCCCCATTTGACTGATTATTTCAGTGCTTCCTATTGAAAATACACTCCATCTCATATTTCATATTCTTCTTTTATCGTCCTTCAACATTTAAAAGCTGAGTTGTATGTTATCGTCTAACCCTTCCAGTTCCCCACCAGCCCAGATCCCAGCTGACCCTGCCAAGACAGTTCAGGGTGTAAACACTATAACAAAGACTCCTTGCATATTTGGGCTTTAAAGGTCACAAGGATTTATCTGTTTTACAATCTGGATGATTTGATGGCAAGACACAAATAATTTGAAAAGCGAAAAACAATCCACCACTCTTCTGAGTTTTCATTTCCATGACAAAAGAGATAATACACATTTCTGTGCTTCTGAGTGATGGTGCCGTTTGAGTTCTATGTTATATTGCTAATTTTGAAGCAGCTAAATCCTTGAAGCTGCATTAAGTCACTCTTTAGTGCTCTGGTCTAGTTAGGAGTTAAGCCCTGAAAAAGCAGGAGACACTTTTTAGCACTTCTGTAAAGACATAATGCTCCAGCTTTAGCAACAAACAATCTTAATCACAATAATCAAACAGACTCAAAACTACTCTCCTGTCTGTCAGGACAGAAAACCTGGAACTGGGACTGACACTAGTCTTACTGCTACTGCTGCCAATGCCAGTATTTAATATTATGGTCGCTACTATACTGCTGAAAAATAATTTTGTTTGTTTTTTACTCAGGATAGATTTGATGTGAAGATCTTTAGTCTTTCAGTGTGACAACCCTGTTTATTAGAAACAGTCTGAAGTCCCCAGTGTGTGGCGTTATTTATTTCCTGAAGTAATTTTAGTGAAATACTGTAACATAAATTCTTCTCATTCTCATTAAGTCTTACTTTAAAACATGTAAAATATAACTCTGATGTCTATTTTCCATTTCGCAGGAGATTAAAAACTTTCATATTATTGCAAAAGTTTATTTCATTCAGTTACTGAAATCAAAAATGGTTTTGAAAATCTAATTATATTAAATTGAGAAATAAACTCAATTATCACTCTTCAACTGAATTGCTAATTTAACAAACTGAATCTAATCTAATCTAATTTCTGTTAATAAAGGAATTCACCTAATCAACCCTGTCAACCCTGTATACACTACTAATTTGTTTTTCTAAAGACACTTTGTATGGAAACCCAATTGCTGCTTGGATTATGTTTTTTTTTTTTTTTTTAATTTTCTTTATTTTTAAGCGCCACACAAGTATATACTTCACCAGGCGATCAGGGTGGATAGTGAGATCAGACAGTGACACCTGAGACAGTTTCCTAATCTGAATTGCTGTGACTGCATTAACAAAACCATAAAAATGTTTTTTAAATTATTGTAGTTGCTACAGGCGAACAAAATATGTTGTCAGTGAACATTTTGAACATTATGTAACTTTGCAGATATGTTCATTAACAACATTTTCTCATTATGTTGATAAAAGTTATTGAAGCAGCATTACATCTCTTAGAAAATATATTTACAAATTAGTATATAAATATAATTTCTAGGAAACAGGGCCGCACTAGCAGTTGATCGTTGCATTTTTAGTCTGCAGAGTCTGTGGAGCATTACTGCTGCCTGTTCTACATCTCCTGGTGCATGTGCTTCCCAGACAAGTTGTCCTGATCAGCACAGATGTAATATGTTACTATGGCAGAAACTCTATCTGGGTGGCGTGAAAATCAATACAGCACAGAGGGATGAGCCAACAGGCTGCAGCAACCAGCACTCACACAGACATCTGCAAGGCCGGGCTATTTATCATAACTTCATAACTTCAGCCAAAAGAAAAGTCACACCTAATCTAATACAATGAGCACCACAATTTAAAAAACATTTTATAGCAATTCAGGATACGCTCGACAGTAGCTAGTGACTAAATTATATGTTTACAGACTGAATCCTCTTGAGTCTCTTTGAATAACTCTAGCTACACTCAATGTTTTTAGATTATATATTAAAATGTTGATTATACACATTCACACAGGAGTGGAAAACAACAGAAACACAACATAAGAGTCACAAATGAATCTGTATGATTCCTCTATTTTATATTAAGTATAGCAAGTACTTTTGGTATCGTGTAGAATAACACATTTTAACAATTATTTATTTATTTTCTGAATATTTAGTGTTTATTACATCATTTCCAAAGGCAAAAGAAAGAAAAAAATAAAACATCAATGAAACAGCTCTGCAGTTTTCTTATCTATACTCGTTCTGACCTTCTCAACGCCTGTCTCTAACTTCAAAATACTCCCTGCCTCTGGATGTATCCTTAACAAGAAGTGCTAAGCCCCCAGAGCGAACCTCACAGCCAAATGCACTCCTCTTTATCTCACCCATGAAATCCAATTCCTGTGGATCTTTGGAAGCGTGACCATTCTTTGTTAGGGTGTGAAACACACTTTTCTAAGGTTGGATTGAACAGGATTTTATAGCTGTCACGCCTATACAATAGCAGAATGTCACTTTTTGTTGTTTGGGTAAATGGGACCTTTCTGAATGGCGTACATGAACGTAAGATGAGGAGAAAATAAATATGTTTTTGCTCTGTCTGCTGTGATGGCTAATATATTTTACTGCCACACTAAGGTATTAGTCATTTGAAAAAGTGACCACATAATAAAGCGTTTGTTCACATGGCATAATACATTTTAGGAAATACACTTACTTGCTTTCTTGCCAAGAGTTAGTTTAATTATATTTAAATATGAAGCTAGAACCAGAAAATGTTTGTCTTAGCTTAGCATAAAACTTGGAAACAGGGGGAACATCTAGCCTGGCTCTGTCCAAAAGTAATAAAATCCATCCTGTCATCACTGTGATACTGAGAGGCAATGAGCTGAGACTACAGGATGTTGCTGTACCCGGCCAAGAAACAGTCCAGCACATAACTTCCTGTAAAACTACAAATTATTGTTTTTACACTTTACAGAAAAAACAAAGTGAGTTTTAGATGTGCTGGTAGGGTTTGTTCAGTGACTAGTGACTGACACTGTTGCAATAGCAGGATCCTCTAATAACCCCGGTAACAGCAGACGACCGTGACCTATGACTGTACTGGGCAGTTCAGAAAATGTGAAGTGTAGAAAGTGGGAGTTTGAAAAAGAACAGGGTGTTGCTGATGAGCTGCATGAAGTTCATCCTTCCACGAACAAATGAATGCTAAAACATCTGTCTTCCCCTTAGAGAACTGACGACATCCTGCTCATTCAAAAACATGTTAGAATTACGATCACAGATATCAACCAATGTATGTCTCAGAACTCAGCTCGCTCTGTCATAAAAGGAAAGACAATAGTATTGATTACCACAGAATGATGCCAGCAGGACTGGACACAGCTAAACCACAGAATAAAACCCCTCCACACTGCTAACTTCCTGTTAGCTCTGACAGCTACACTATCTCCTCTTTCATGACCTGTCTGGCAGTTAAAGAGGGAGTGTAAGTGGAAATAACCCTCCAACCACCACCACCCACACACACACCTCCACTGATGTTCCTCATTCAGCTGAGAATAAATTTCTTACTGTATCTAATGTAATTTACACTGACTGCAAAAGTAGAATAAACTTCCACAATACCTCGCCAACATGAAACCAGATTCTGCTTGACAGAACAACAGAACTGCAACATCAACAATTAACTTAATTATAACAACACAACTAGTTTAATTGTTTGT